AGAAGGGGAGAAAGAAAGAGGGAAAGAGAAACAGCTGAGAAGAGGGACGGGGGAGAAGGGCAAAAGACATAAACCAACAGAATGAGCAGAAATTTTTATTTCATTTTTTAGTTTTTATTTCCTCCAAAGGAATATTAATGGAAGAGGAAAACAGGAAAACAACTGCAAAATGATTTCAGAGATACGTTCACTTATAAGTTGGTGTGCTGCGGTTTGACATACAGATATACACAGACACAGAGGAACATTAACGTCACGCACACACAAATGAGTGGATCATTTTCTCATTTTTGGATAAAAAAAGAAAGAAAAACATGATTTCATACACTCGTTTTAGTCTTTAAGATTAGAACATAATGTAAAACTGAAGCACGTGAACTCCCACGTGGTTACTGTGTGACTCTGTAAGTGCTGTTGGAGTTTCAGCAGCAGTTTAAACACAGTTTAGTTCTTCATCATTGAGACTTTTTTTAGTTGAGCAGATAAGTCATAGTTACTTTTTTCATCTGTCAGCTCTTTCCCTGTTGCTGCTTTCTTCCAGAAATGGTTAATAGCTCCATAATAATAACCTTCCTGGTCATCTTCATTTATATAGACTTTACATACAGTACATGCAGAAGACAGAGTGCTGAAATGAACTCAGTATCTAAACCATTTTTTTGTGCATTAAAGTTTTTGTGTGTGCATGAAGACAATGTGCATGTGCAAATGTTGTTCAAATATGAAATTAATATAATAGCAATATAATAAAAAGAGCTTTTTCTTCATTTAAAGTTATTTTTGGTGCTTAATTTGTTTTGTGAAATACTTTCCAGTAAAAACTTGAGCGGGATTCAAACTATCCCTGGTCAGTATAGGCAGCAATAACACAGTGTTCACAGTTATGATGATAACATCACAATAATGCAATTTAGTTAGAGGCTGAGAGCATTATAAAACGGTCAGGAGTTCAGAGGTATCATTTATATCAAAGTACTAATGCAGATGTTTGGATGTGTATTCGAACTCTTACTATTAGAAACAGATGAAATCACATGAAAGTGTCATCCATGTGAGTCGGCTCGTTCGGCCTGTGCCGTCTTCATTTAGGATCAGTAACGTGCTTTAGATCACCTGCTGCCCTCTATCGTCTGTATGTGCTACTGACAGCTTGCATATATAAAGCACACAGATTCTCACGCCTCGGTCTGCTGTGGTGAAAAGAATAAGAAAACAAAGATTTGGAGGCATGTGACTCTGACTTTGATCCGCAGTGATGCATTCATATGTCGTTAGTTTGTTATGTGTGGATAACGTACATAACCACACAGTGTCACGCAGGAAGAAGCGCAGCTCTGCCTCCTTGTTTCTCTGCTAAAGCCGCCTCCTTTCGGACGCACAGGATGCTGATTGGTCTTGTGTTTTCGGCGACAGCCTCTAGAACGTGTCCTGATTGGCTGAGAGCAGGTCTTTGCGCAGACGAGATGCAAATCCAGAGCGGTACCGGTAAAAGGCTGACGCCAAGATCGGAGATGGCCATTCATCTGCAGCGGAACGGACATAGAAGTAGTTATGATGAAAGCGCTTACTTACCGAAGCAAAATTTGAAATACAGTCAGATACTCTCTCTTTTTTCCCCTCCAACGTCTGCCCATTTCCTTCCACTTTCAGTATGAGCGGAAGTTTGTTCTGCTGAGCTTTGAAGACTACAGAACCCATCTCAAGTCTGCCTTTGACTTCTACTCTGTATGGAGAACGCATCAAACACATCTGAAACCCTAACCCTAAAGCGTCGGGGACATGTTTGCACGGATTTAAATGTGTCGCGTTTGGTCGGGGTAGTTTGACAGATAAGTACTGGACGACGCGCACGCAGGAATCCGCTTCTTGGCCGCAAACAGGAGGAAAGCAGGAGGCTTATAGTGAAAGTCAGCGAGAGGAGACTGTGGACGCACAGATGGTGTTTCCGTGGGACGCCAAATACGGTACGACGTATTATTCTGGTTATTGTTCACGATAAAGTATGAAGACATGCGCAGAGAACATATTTGTTCTCTTCAGCTGTCACATTAGTTTGACTGAATGGAGAAATGGTCTCTGACGGCGCGGTGTTAGTCCGTGGTTTGTCGGTCCGTGTGTGTTTGTGTGTGAGCAGTGATGGTGATATCCATATACTGGAATGTGTGTCATTGTACAACAACGTAGTCATTTACAGGCCTGTAGAAAACTGTAGCTTTATACATAATATAGCACAATCCAGCGTTCGTGTACCGGTTTACTCTGTGACATCCAAATCAGCTCAAACGATCATTGTCAGGTTATTGGTTTGATCCAGTCCACGAGTCAACGTTTCTTAGATTTAAATTTACAACCCCACCTTTTCTCAGTGACTGCGTTCGTGAATGGAAACAGAGTTATTGTGTGAACTGGTGAATGTGGTTTGTAGTGTTTGTAAAAGGGGGAAAAGTGGAGTCTGAGTTTTGCACTGCTGCCAGAATTCTTCAGAGATTGATGCAAAATGTTACCCATGTGTTGAAGTGTTCATTCTGAACTAACAAATGTGTGCTATAATACGAATGAGTGTTACCTGAGCTCACTAGGATCCAAAACTTTGGATTTGACTGAGAAGGTCATCAGGTTGGTCCAGTCTGCATGCCATCCTTGGGCAAGATACGAACCCCAGGGTGCTCTCTGTGCTCTCAGTGTGAATGTGTGTGAATGTTAGACCAAAAGCGCTTGTATGAAAGGACGTGAATGAGGTGTGTTGTATAAAATACTTTGAAGGCTCCAGATTAGAAATTTAAAAAATCTGATATAAGAATCAGTCAATTTAACATTTAGATACAAATGTAACTATTAGCAAAATAAACGGTCACACCTGTTCACCTGGTTACCTTCTCCTGTGGTTGTGGTGCCCCGACAAGTGTACAACTTAAACATCTCTCAGTCTCACTCTGTGTGTGTGTTTTATAGATCCCAGTTCACACACACCTGTACAGTGAAACAGGTGTGTGTGTGTGTGTCTTTAACCTGAATAAAAAGCAAGCGTAGTCATAATTTGTCAAACACTATCTATAGAAATCTTTCTAGTCATTACCTACTAATCTACTTACTGATTGATCATAAGTTGTGACAGAATAGTGAAAAAAGTCCTTGTTAGTGCAGACTGGGGGGGAAAGAAAATATCTGTGAGCAAACAGAATCGCTACGTTTTCTTTCTCTGCTGAAATTATTTCTTAAACAATGAATGAAGAGTGAAAATATATTCTCATACTGTTCTGATGATTACGTGATTCAAAGACTATTTTTTCCTGGGTTCTGTCACAGACCCTGCCCCCGGTCGCCGCTATACTCCCCCCTCTACCACCCTCGCCTCGGGGGGGAAGATGGCCGAGGCCCTGCCTCTCGGAGCCCAGGAGGCCGGTGGTGGAGCTGCTATGGTGGGAAAATTGCGAATTGCAGACCACGGCATGGTGGAGGTAGGGCAGCACGGGACTGGTTGCTTATTTCTGTCTTAGACTAAAATAACTGTGCTGCTGTTTTTTCAGGTGATGCCAGATCATCCAGGAGAGCTGGTGAAGACAGACAGTCCCAATTTTCTGTGCTCTGTGTTGCCTACTCACTGGAGGTGTAATAAGACTCTGCCCATTGCTTTTAAGGTGTGTATGTTGTCATTTTAGCACGGGCCATGCTGTACATTGTAATGGACTGTGCGTACTTAGAGTTCACATACATACCAGGTTTTACTGTTACGTATGCAGTCAGCTCCACCTCTAACCAAGTGATCACGAACCTTTCACCTACTGAAAGTTTCCTGATAATAACATGTAGCATTTTTATATTATTACATCATCATGAGTTCATCTCTCTATTACTTTGATTGCCTTTACTGTTCTTGTCCAACGTGCTGTTCAGTATATTCACTGACAAACAGAGAAAAGCAGCATTTCCTCACATCTGGGAACAAATCTTTGACATTTTGCCTTTAAAAGTTAATTGATGTAAGTGGTCCGGATGATTTACGACTTTAGTGTTTAATGTACCAAATCTAACATTTTGTACATTTTCCAGCATCACTCACAAAGGTCCGTTTTTACAGACCTTTATACTGTCTTACCAGTGGGTCATATGATCCATCCACCCTCAGTGATTTAACACAAGTTTGTTTGTTTTTGCTGCGTTTCCCTCATGTGGATGGTTTTCCTGCACTTTGAGACAAAATGCATTTGTGGAAAAGCGGCTTTTAGCTGCAGAAAACACAGTGGATTGATTTACTGAGTTTTATGCATTAGTGTTTGCGCATACATGTGTGTGTAAGAGAGAGTTTGGTGCATTATGCATCATTATGGAGTGTCATGAGCGGATGTCACTGCCTCTTACTGATAATGGATGACTGTTGAGATGAACACGCACATTTTATGCACACAGTGAAAGACGCGCATCCATATTGTATGTAGCTGATAACACACACTCTGCAGGTATTGTTCTATATACATAGACAGACACACATATTTGCTGGGCTGCTTTTTTGCTGCTGCTCCACAGTCTGCCCGACGGTGAATTTACTGTTTGTTCTTGAATAATTTCTAAACCCAGTGAAATGCTTATTGCAGCCAGTGTGATTCCATCAACTTATCTCATTACTGTGACCGGCACTGGTACTCAGTCTCACACCACTTTAAGTGATTACCAATAGGTGGAAGGTATAATTGTCGTTTTAATACTAGTGTGGCAGTCAGCGCTGGTTGGAGCGCTCTGGGTCACAGACAGAGATGCTCCATAGTACTATATCTGCCCTGCTTATTTGCACAATGATGCTTTGGTGTGATTAGCCACAATATGGAAATCAGCCTGCCTGGCTCTATATTTGTGTAGGTGTGGAAAAGGAGAGTGTGCTTTCTAGTGCGCTGAGCTCTCGTGGAGGGTAAAGCCTAACAGTACGCACAAAAGCTTTATTCAACAACTTTTAGTTAATCATTTGCATCTTTTACTGTCCATGAAGTTCAGTGTAAAACTGCCTCTTTGCCTCTCAGTCAAACCAAGCATATGGTCAGTTTGAAATTGTGCTAGCCTCTCAGCAATTCAGTCTTTATATATGAACATTAGCTGCTCAGTCACTAATAGACGACTTTTTTGTTGTACTCTACTTTGGATCATCCCACAATCATCCCATCTCATAGGTGTCAAACTCTGGCCCGCGGGCCAAATTTGGCCCGCAGCCTAATTACATTTGGCCCACGAAGCCACACCAAATTACTATTAGAGCTGGCCTACTGGTATTATACAGCTAATATATATATTGTTTAGTATTAAGCTTTGCTTGTTCCATATTCAGTTTTTCAGCAAAACTTATTTGAGTCCATAAGAAAAGATTCATTCTTATATCTGAAGGACGATTTTTTTTTCAATAAATGTTAATGTTAGCCCGCGACTTTGTTCCAGTTTTGAATTTTGGCCCACTGTGTATTTGAGTTTGACACCCCTGTCCCATCTGCATAATCAGGAGTTTTGCACTCCTGCTTTGCATGGACTGACATTTGGTGCAAAGTAGCATCAGGTGTGTAAAAACCTCTGTGGGACGTGTGCACTGAAAAATGGCACCGAACAGGTTGGATACAAAGATGTTCTGAAAACCTCAAACTTGGATTAAACCCTCACGCAGACACAGCGCACACTCGTGCTTTTCTCTTGTTTGTGCCAACATGTCACTAGGTGGTTGCCCTGGGCGACATTCCAGATGGCACCTTGGTTACAGTGATGGCAGGAAATGATGAGAATTACTCAGCAGAGCTTCGCAATGCGACAGCTGCAATCAAGAACCAAGTGGCCAGATTCAACGACCTCCGCTTTGTGGGCCGCAGCGGTAGAGGTACGCACAGACACGCAAATACATACATGGAAATGTGAATGCAGATTTACTGTACAGTGTAAAAGTTGTACAGTGTGAAATTAGCAGGCACCAGTTTATTAGTATGAGTGACATTAGTCAGAAGAGTTTCACCTTTAAATCTTCCACAGGTTGAAAATTAATAGACATGTTTTGTACAAGCATACAGCACAGCATTAAATTAGGGGAAGTACATGTGAATAAAAACAGCATTCACACAACTTCCTCCTAATATCCCATCCAGTGTCTGCCTCTTTCTTTCTCCCTCTCTTTTTAACGGACACACAAGCACAGTTACTCTAAATCAGGCACAGGCAAATGTCCCTACTTATCTATTTAAAACACCAGTCTTGTGTACACAAACCCTGCTAACATACAGACACACACAATATTGATAAATCCTCCCCCAGCCAAAAGAAATTGGTATAACTGTCAATATTTTATCAGCTGTGCAGACCTTAAGTTGAAAAAATGAGCATATTAATATTTCAAGTGCAGCAGAATTCAAATGAAGAAGAGTGAGGAGTCTAAATTTGTTTCATGCAAATTTAACAGCACAGAATACAATGGGACCATTTTCTCTCCCAGCAGTATTTTAAGATAGTGTTTTTGTAATGTTGACTTACAGCTGGAAGACTGTAGTTGCATCTGTCTGTAAAACAGTGTCTGACCCAAACTGCTGTGACACGCAGTGCTTTGTTCTCTGTGCGTCTATTTCTTATTAATGCGTTTCATGATAAGGTGACAGGAACAACATGCAGGAAGGACGCAAATCATTTACACACACATGTGTAAAATGTACAGATGTGACGGAGACGATACAAACCTGCACAAATGTCACTTTCATTTCCACTAAATGGCCAAAAGTTAAATTGGAAATTGGTGAAAAATTTGTTACAGACTTGGTAACAAAACTGGTGGTTCGTGGATCAGTTCTCAGAATGCAATTATTGGACTCTGTCTGGAAAAATAAAGCAGTCAATATGGAAATAATCTGGTGAAAAATCTGGACCTTGCTTCTTCATTTTTGAATAAATGTAGTGGAGACAGTTACATACAATATGCCTTGTGCAGTAAATACATATTTTATTTCTTACCGTTTTCTATATGTGTAAAATCACATCTCACCGTGTTTCTGTTTGCTTTTGATAAACCTGTACACTCATGGATTCAAGTCAAGATCATTTTTTGTGCAGATGTCATCATCTCATGCTCACTCGATCAAAGCCTGATTTCGTTTATTCACGAGTGCTGTGTTTGCTTTGCACAGAGATGTTCTGACTTTAGAACGTTTGCCTCGCTAACCTGTATTTCTTCTTTGTTTATGCTTTCTGATGACTTTTCAGTCCCCTCGTAGGGACCAAAATCCACGTCCCCACGAGGTTCAGGCGTTTTTCACACTCAAAATGTGGTTTTAGTGTCATGGTTACAATTAGGTTATGGTTATAGTTAGGGCTAGGCATTTTTGATGGTTAGGGTAACCGGCTCAGGAAAGCATTATGTCAATGAGATGTCCCCATGAGAATAGCAAACCAGACGTGTGTGTGTGTGTGTGTGTGTGTGTGTGTGTGTGTGTGTGTGTGTGCACTGTGATGTAACATGTGTGTGTGTCTGTGTCTGTGTGTGTTGTGTGTGCACATGTTATGTAACCAATTTTCAGTCTTTTTGTCTCAGTTCCGTCTTTCAAGACCATGATTGTCTTAGTATTATCACGATATATGGACACACACACAAACAGCACACAGACACACACACACACACACACACACACACACACACACACACACACACACACACACACACACACACACACACACACACTCTGTGTATATTTAACTTTGATTGTTAGCTAAACTGAGTAACATGATGTGCACATTCATGAATCACATCTCGTCCTGTTTTCCCAGGGTGAGATGTGCAAGAGTGACTGCAGAGAAAACATTTGTTTAGACGAACACAGGCTCTTTGTTATCTGTTAATGTAGTGTGTGTGTGTGTGCATGCATGTAACTCTTTTTGTAAACAAGGGAACAGAAATGCTGTTATACATTTTTCATTCATGGTGTGCTTTTCCTTTGCTTATATAGAGCAGAGAAAACACTGTGTGTAGACCAGGATCACGATCTCTTTCTGTTGGTTGCACAAAGACAGCAGAGACACACTGATGTCAGCTGCCATCTAGTGGCCATTAATACAGCTGAGAATGTCATGTGTTAGTCGTTAGTGTTTCCTATAGAAGGGTTCTAGACAACTTAAACTGTTATTCAGTTCTGAGCTTTGTATACCACTATATATGTTATATAATATATGACTACGTTTCATATATCATAATTTAAGATAATGAGAGGAGACAGAAAGGGAGAGGGAAATGAGAGTAACACCCGACACACAACAGCAGTGGGGCTCTGCCATGTGCAGTGTTTACATCTAGCACAGTGTTAAGTGACTGCTACTTCACACAGACACAGAGATAGTCCTATTAATGTGTGGTACATACACTCATATCTCTTAGATATGAGTGTATGTACCACAGATATGACAGTTAAACACTGGTTTGTGATTGGCTGGCAGGTGTCTATTAGAAATGGGACACAGTAGTTTTCTAAATAAGTAATTAGGCTACATCCAAAGCCAAACTTTAAGTCACTCAAAAAAGTATTTGTCATTTAAATGATCAAACCTTTACAAAAACTTGTTTTTATAACATTTAAGGTAAAGCAGAGAATTTCGTTTATAAATGAAAGACAGTTTTTTTAGTTTTTCTCTCATTTTTAAAAAAATATCTACTTGAAAAGATTGACTGCAGATATGTGCGAATAGCTTCATAATACCTTGTAATATTCATGATTACAGGTAACATTCTGTATTATTGTAGAATATGTAATATTCTACATTTGAATTGTTAACTTTGTCTATGACCACAAGTTTGCATGAAAAAACATTTTCATGTACACCATCCTTTTTTCTTTGCTCCACAATCTCAGGAATCAAGTCACATCCAGCAAAGGACAAAGTAATAGTTTTTTATTCTCGTACATATTGTTTACTTTTCAAAAACTCTTTTACTTTCAGTACTTTTTGTATATCACACTCAGAAGCTGGAATAAAGTTTACACATCGACCATTACCAATAAAAAACAAATGCAATGTAATTTCCAGGATTACTATATAGAAAGAGCCAGAACCCCCACAAAGCACCTCAGCACTCAATGTCTTTATCCACCCTGAAACACTGTCGACAGTGTTCACTAACATTTTCAACACCTCAATGCAGATATGTCATGTGCCAGCCTGCTTCAAGGCTGCCAATATCATTCCTGTTCTGAAAAACAATGATCACAAGCCTTAATGACTACAGACCTGTCGCTCTCACCTTTGCCTGTCCCATCTACAGTCAATGATTGACCCCCTCTCTCTTGAACTCCCTGTGTTTTGCGTACAGAGCCAACAGATCAGTAGGTGATGTAGTTAGCATGGCACTAGACTTCATCATCCAGCATCTGAACTCTGCAGGAACTTAGTATAATGGTTTTGTGGACTGTAATTCTGCTTTGAATACAATAATGCTGTAGGACAAGCTCCCCCACAAGCACCCCCACAAACATCTTCCTTGGTTCCTTATACATATACATATATTGGCCGGTAATTGAATGGGAATGGCGCAGGACCCAACCAGGCCCGTTAGAGGACCCGAGCCTGAATCCTTTCCCCCCCGAGACCTAGCCTTCTCACACATATATATATATATATGTATATATATATGTGTGAGATATATACATATATATACATATATACATATAAAAAACACCCAGCACGCCCCTGCGGGCGGTTTATCCTTCAAGCTCGGGTCCTCTGACCTTTGATACAACCCTATGTCTCTTTATAATATTTATATTTATTATATGTTAAACACATAACAGGGCTCTAGACTAACTTTTTGCCATGGGCGTACCGGTACGCCTAACTTTAAAAAGTTAGGCGTACCGGCACAAAAGTTAGGCGCACACAAATTTTATAATAATTTATATAATATAATGTGTTTTTCTGGATACACTGTGCTTTTTCAGCATTCAAAGATTGATGACACCGTGTCAGAGCACTGGCTATGAATTTCAGAAGGATCAGGCCTTAACAGAAAAGTTAGCAATAGTTCTTTCACTGATTTCCTATAATCCATTCGATTCCGGTTTTCAAAGTCCCGATTCGATTCAACTTAGCCTCAGACAGTCAGAAATATTATAATTCTGATCATTTATCAGTACTGACTTCATCAGAATTGTGAACATCACAGCAGATGCCTTTGTGTGAAAGTAACTGAGAATAAAACACAGAAAAACATGAAGGAGATTTTCCTGGTCTGGCTTTTTATAGCAGATAACCTTAAAAATATTCTACAATGTTCTGCATATAAAGTTTAAATTTCTTCAGTATTGAATCAACAGAAAAAATAGGCTTTCTTGTCCGAGGTCATTTAAGTGAAAAAAAGAAAAAGAAAAGAAAAAGACAGCAGCCACAGCGCTGTAAACAACGGTAAGTGACGGAATGGACGGTAAGTGACGGAAGTGACGGACAAGGTAAGCGACCCATGTTGTAGGTGACGTCAGACGCCGGAGATTTTGGCGGAGAAAAAGCAAATGGTAGCGTAGAATTTAACAAAGGTTTTTCAAGCTTCAGTATTACCAAATATACTAATCAATTGTCATATAACTAACAACATCTGTTTTACCATCTCTAACACCCTGGAGGACAACGGGGAGAGTTTAGACGCTCTCCAAGATTACATCGACCGCTGTTTTCAAGATTTAGTAATGCATAAGGCCCAGAGTGCATCTTCCCCGGCCAAAATTGAGACGCCGTCATCGAAGAGAAGTCGCCAGGCAGACTCCCCCGGTACAACATCGCCTGCCGGCAAAGACATCGCAGAAATCCTGGAGTCAATCGACAAGCGATTGTCCAGTTTTGATGCGAGGCTGTCCCTGGTGG